GCCCAGCATCATTGCGAGGAACTGCGCGTACTTGCCAGGCACTCGCCTCCTCTCGTCTCCGAAGATCGCATGGACATGCTGGAGAGCGACGTGGAGCTGAATACGATGCTCAGGCGCGGATCGAGCCAGCAGCGGATTCTAGACCAAAAAAGGAAGCTGATGCTTGAACTACCTGGCCGAGAGGTTGAGGTCAAACGCCTCAGCTATCCGCGGGTGATTTTTCTTAGCGCTACATTGCTAGTTGAAAGTCTTCGCGCTTTGTCGGGAAACTGCACGACAATCCTCAGTTATTTCAGAGACCCTGTTCTAGCCACTGCTGAAATGGCTAGCTGCATGGGTGCTATCGCTGAGAAGGTTGTTTCTTGCCATCTTTCATTGACACTTGCTGGGAAATTGGAGCAGTTTTCTGTGCCGTTCCTATCCAGGGAGCTTGCTGGCTTCTTTGTTGCTTGCTGCCATCGTGTTGAACGAGTTCAGAATATTGCCGTCCTCTGCGCAGACAAAATAATGCGAGAGTGTCCTTCCGCTCTGTGTGAAAGGACATCTCTCTTTGCTCTGCTTGAGCTCTTGACTGTCATGTGGCAGTCTTGTTTCGAAGGCGAACTTGACGAGTACGAGTGGAAGCCATCTTTCACCTCTCCTACTGGTCTTGTCCGAGTCAATCTACCCGACAATTATAGTTTCAGAGAGAGGACACTGGAAGTTCTTTTAGAGCGTGCCCGGACGTGGGTGATCGCAGTCATGAGTATCTCACCTCTAGACGTCAAAGGACTTCTCCAGGTATGAGACGACAATATTTGGCTACAATCCGCAACTAACCCTGCCTTACAGGCATATCTTTCCGTCTCTGATGACAACTGCGGAAACGGCCAGATCTCTCTGGGTCGGTCATTCGCTTTGGAAATGGGTGCGCTGATCCCAAGTAGTAATCAACGACTTGGTACGTTCCAATACATCCTTTGCCTGCCAGATCATCTCTTGTGGTAGAGATGCACCGCCACGCATGTAACTGATTTCTCTCAGGATCTGTCAAGAACGGTAGTGTTGGTGGCGTATTGAACATAGCCTCCGGTTTTATATCCCAGTTATCCACACGCGAGCGATACAAGTTATCGGGGACATCAAGTGTCGATGGCACCGTGCAAGGATTAGAGTTTTGTTCTGGTTAGGCTTCCCCCGCAGCTCGGTGTTTTCTTGCTAATGTACCAACATCAGATTCTGATGGCTCTGCACCAGGTTCTTCTAATTTGATCATGGCTAAAACCATGGAAGATAATCTTTCTAAACTCCACACACGTTTGAGGGATGGAATAAACGTTCCTATCACACAAATGCGGAATGTACTGCGACAGGCTGCTGCCCTAGTGAGTAACGACGCTGAGAACCATGCTTATCTTGCACATTATCTAGTCATAGTGCCCTTCGAACAATTCTCGCAAGAGTCAATTGACATCGGGGCGTCTCTTTGGTTGAGTGTGATGCATGAGAATCCCAAGATGTGTGTCAAATTGCTATCTGAAATAATGGGGGCATGGGAAAGGTCAATATATCGCAAAAGGAACCTGTTCGATCCATCCTTCAAGTGAGTATACAGCTATGACAAGGCAGACACACCTATGCTAACGCAGCCTGGAAAAAGCTGTATGGATCCATTCTTTAGCAAAATTGAATTGTTACCCACCGACAGGACTCTGGCGACACGGAATCAGGAAAGGGCCCAGGAGAAGCTCATGCCACACTTGCGAGTCCTTGAGTTCTTTGAAAGCCAATTCAATGCCACTCGGCTGGCAAACGCTCAAGCCCAGCCTTTGTTTTGCCGTCTTGTTGACGCGACAATGACAGGATTGTTGCACGCTAGCAGTCACCCTTTAGCGCGAGAGCTGCACTTTCGTGTTATCTTGTTTAGTCTTAAAGTTTTGGGTGACTGTAGCTCACAAGATGCACATTTCCAATGGAGATTGAAGGATCAGATCTTGTCAGCTGCTTTGACCTGGTTCAAGACCTCACCAAGGTATTTCACATGCGATCTCTCGGGTTAAGCGCGTTCATTAATCTTTGAAATTCAGATGGTCTTTTGGAGGAAACCGCCTCCAGATCAAGGCTGAAGACAACATCCTCCGCGACGTTATTTCTGCCTTAAAGGGGGTGTCTGCCATTTCTCGCCAGACACAAGGGGTCTATAGATCATTGCAATCAAAACAGGATCTTCTCCATGTCTTTATAGAGAATGAGAGATCCCGCCTTAGAGTGTGGCTATACCCACTGGACTCCGATCGGAAGCACACGAGCCCACAGTCATCCTCGCCCAAATCCCTTACCGAGGTTCGCTACTCTAAAACACTCAAGCTGGAGGCCAAAGTTGAAATAAGGCTAATGATCAGCCAGGAAGCCACGACCCTTTTAAGACTCGCTTGGAATGAACATCCAGGCTTGGCGGTCCAGCTGTCAACCCGATTTCCGTCGGCGAAGCTCAAGAATGATGTTCGCTGGTTGATGCTCAATTTTCCAGAGAAGGCGATTGACGAGCCTGAAGGTCTGGAGCTGATGTTCGGTACCAATCTTCCTACTGACGTCTCGAGTCAACTGAAGGCAAGTTCAACGTTTGGCCCTAGTCAATTCGGTAAAGCTAACGTGAGTAGTATCTACTTTACTGGGCTTCAGTCAATCCAACCGAAGCCTTGACCTACTTCTTGCCCGCTTATGGCAATCACGCCTTCATACTACAATATGCAATGAGGGCTCTAGAGAGTCATCCCATCGACGTGCGCTTCTATTTTGTCCCACAACTAGTCCAAGCTTTGAGATACGATTCCCTGGGCTATGTCGAACGTTACATACTGGAAACTGCTAAGCTGTCTCAATTGTTCGCCCACCAAGTTATCTGGAATATGAAGGCAAATTCTTATAAGGACGAGGATTCGCAGATCGTGAGTTGATAAAACGTCGAGCAACCACGGGTATGAGAGGACTGACAATTGTTCGCAGCCGGATCCACTTAAGCCAACCTTGGACAGATTTATGGATGCGTTGGTTGCAAGCTTCACAAATGAGGAACGTGAATTCTACGAAAGGGAATTTGCCTTTTTTAACGAGATTACTGGCATTTCAGGCAAGCTCCGACCGTATATAAAGAGAAGTAAGGCTGAAAAGAAAGAGAAGATTGAAGAAGAGCTTCGCAAGATCAAGGTGGAGGTCGGAGTATACCTTCCAAGCAACCCTGAGGGCGTTGTCGTGGGTATCGACCGCAAGTCTGGGAAACCTCTGCAAAGTCATGCCAAAGCACCATACATGGCGACCTTCAGAATTCAGAAGACTCGGGCACAAGCACAAGGAACCCACAAAGAAACACGCTCACTTGCACAATGTTGCAGCGACTTGTCAATCTCGGGGGAGAGTCTGTCAAACGACGAGACCTACGAAGTCTGGCAATCAGCTATTTTCAAGGTTGGCGACGATTGTCGTCAAGACATGTTGGCCCTGCAGATGATTGCTGCTTTTCGAAGCATATTCGCAAGCGTCGGGCTTGACGTATGGGTGTTCCCTTACCGAGTGACCTCCACGGCTCCTGGGTGTGGGGTTATCGATGTTCTTCCAAATTCAATTTCGCGTGATATGCTGGGTCGTGAAGCTGTGAATGGTCTATATGACTACTTTATCTCTAAGTACGGTGGAGAGGATTCTATACGGTTTCAAGAGGCACGCACAAACTTCGTGAAGAGCATGGCTGCTTATTCCGTCATCTCCTATTTGCTTCAATTCAAAGATCGGCACAATGGAAACATCATGATCGACGATGCAGGCCACATCATACATATTGACTTCGGGTTTTGTTTCGACATTGCACCAGGGGGCGTGCGCTTTGAGCGCGCGCCTTTCAAATTGACATCTGAGATGGTTGCTGTAATGAGTGGTAATAATCACTCACATACTTCCCCCAGCGGCGGCTCTGGAAGTGGCTCTCACAGCCCCACTAGTACTCAGCCCTACATGTGGTTCGAATCGCTGGTCGTGAAGGCTTTTCTTGCGTCGAGGCCGTACAGCGCCAAACTTTCTCACATAGTGTCCTTGATGCTCGATAGTGGCTTGCCCTGCTTTAAGCCTGACACGTTGAAAAATTTCCGAGACCGATTTGTACTTGAGAAGAATGATAGGGAGGCAGCGGATCACATGCGTGAGCTTGTGCGCAAGTCGTACATGAGCGTGTCGACGAAGGGATATGATCAGTTTCAATTGTTGACCAACGGCATCCCCTATTGAACCAAGCTAGTCAGCTTCTCTGCATGTACTGGACTTATGGAAAAATGTCAGATGAATTTATACTCCACCTCTATTGACAGTGTCTCAAGAATTGGTCCACTTTGTACAGTATATGAGCGTGTAACCAAGGGCAACAATAGTTCTAAAGACTCAATAATCTTCATTTAGTTCAGTCTTGTGATACACTGTGAATATAGACTCACTCGCAATAGGAACGAAAAGCGTGAATGCCCTGTGTAGATCATTGATAAGCAGAAGTGGCCTGGAAATAGGGAAGAACCGCAGAACATGCCAGTCAAAACCGCCCTCGAAACACGAGCTCAAAACAGAAGCCTTTCTCCCGCCAGCAACTCCCATTGACCGAAGTCAAGGGGGCCAAGAGTGTCGACGAGCAAATCAACCGAACGAATAATCCTTAATAGATTCAGTTTACACAAGTCATGACATGGAGGGATACAAGAGGGAAAGTGAAACATGATCGAAATTGCCCAACTGCCTTTTATATGGCACATACACGGTTTTCAAGGTTTCTCTGGCTACATACGCCGCCAGCCTGCTTCGTAAATCGGCTCTACAGTCCCCTCGACATTTCCTCATACCTGATGATAAATCCCTCCTATAAGTCCATGATAAGGCAAAACAGATCAACAAATCCTGAACCTCTGCTCTGAAGACATCAAACGTCGACTACAATTGGGGGGCAGTAGCAGGCTCGAATTGAAGTGTGGAGCAAAATGGTCCCATTAATCCATGAAATCGCCGCGAAGAATCTTCTCCTGAAAAAAGTCAGGCTTGTTCTGTTTGGGTTGCTTGGGAATTTCGCGAGTCGGTTGCTCCATCGAAGCAATCGAGGTAGCCCGCTGGTGGTGACATTGCTGGCCTGAGCCGCTTAAGAGCTGGGTTTGAGGCGTGTTGGGCGAAGTTATTCCCAAGGATGGGGCACGCTCGGCCCGGGTTCGCAGGGCTTCAGACCAGTTGAAGCCTTCGCCTATTTGTCTCCAAGCCACGTTAGACATCTCGATCTCGGGAAGAACAACATTTGTACTTGCAACAGTTGACTCTGTGGGGCTATGGGAGCTTTTGCTACATGTAGGCGGTAAACGTCGTCTGCTAGACGCAGGAATCCCAGGGGGGGAATATCTACCGTTGCTAATGCTGCCAGCACGAGCATCTCGTAGCGCTTGCGCGCCAAAAGAAAGACGTCGCGCGAATGGAGAGTGAGGAGCGGCGCTAGATGGTCCGCCACTCTCACTGTCTTCAACGACAGCGTCTTCTAGATTTGCCGAACCGGATCCAACTGAGCTGGAAATGCTGCCATGCCGCATGCTTTTGCTTCCCCATGGAGACGATTGATTCGGAGATCCAGCGAGCCCCAAGGTGGTGATGGACAGTCGTCGACCTTGACTGGGTGGTGCATTACCCACTGAACTATCCATAGAGCCCGTGGGTGCGCCCGCAGCATGTCCCTGGCTGCCGGACCTAGATAGATAATCCGCAAAGGAGAGGCCTGAGGCCAAGGATGCTCGGCGTCGGTGCGCAGAAGAAGATGGGACCGAGATAGGGTCGGTTGAACGTTCATTTGACATGATGCCAAGACGCGCGTGAATTGACCAATAAGGAGATAGCGAAAGTTATATCTTAATCACATGGATCAAAGCGATGGGAAAACCATTCGAAGAAGATATCGTAAGTGAGAGGGGGGGAGGGGGAAAGGGATGAGAACGAGCAACGCCGTATGCGGAGAAGCACGGTGCGTTTGGGGAAAGAGTAAGTTAAGGTTTCCTAACTTCAGCAGAAGCCCTCGCTCAGGTGATAACTTGCTGTGGACGATATAGCTTGACTCAGGCTGGGAACCGCTCTCGGTACCGCTCTGGGCTGAACAGCCTCACGACCACACGAGGAGAACGTAGGAAGTGAACTGGAGCAAATCAGCATACATCAGTTGACCCACCGGCACGTTATGCTGATTTTGAAGAACATCCCAGGATCACTGAGACTCGACGAGTGGCGGTGGCGACGCCAGATGAGGTGTCATGATGGGGAGAGGTTCATGAGATGGGATGGCATGGGCTTGACCAAGGGATAATGGAAGGTTGCACGATAGGGGCAGGGGCAGAAGTAAAGCGTTGAGACCAATTGTTCAAACTCACCGGTCCAAGCGAAGCCCGGCCGAGAAACAGTCTGCAAATGTTCCGAACAGGCAAGAGGTGGGATGGTGAGATAAAAGGAGAGAGAAGAGGGGAGAAGAAGGGATAAGCGAGGTCGTGAGGTCCTAAAGTTTAAGGGTAGGGAGAGGGAAAGGAAGGAGAAGAAGGTTAAATCGATACAATGGCGATGAAATGGAGATGAAATGGAGATTTGGGATGATGGGGATGGATGAAAGAATGATAGAGATAATAGGGAAGAAGAGGTGATGGATTAGGAAGGATAGGAAGGAACCTTCTGAGGAGTGAAAGAAGGAAGGAAGGAGGGAGGGAGAGAAGAGGCGGAGGAGGCGGAGGAAGAGGAAGAGGAGGAGGAGGAAATCAAGAGCGGTGGGAAAATATTAGATAGGAAGATGGATGGATGGATGAATGGAATAGTAACTACCTCCTACTTACGTATGTACGGTACGAAGTAGTTACGGTGTAGTTAATCCCACATACCTTAACTAGTCCTTAGGTAGTTAAGTTACGGAAGTACTAACGTTACTGACTGACTGCAGGTTGCTTGGTTTGCTTCTTACCCCACAAAATAGAAAAGCGGTCTAGCCCTTTCCGTCTACTAATCTAACTAACCTGAACTACCCAGTTGGCTGGGGTCGATGATTCATCATTGGTTTAGTGCATCCATGGTAAGTTAAGTCAAGTTACTATCCATGATGTAAGTACTGACCAGCTGAGTATTACTGTACAATCATCCATCCAAATGCTGAGATATATCTATTTATCCCCTGGAAGATCCGAGAGCGATTTGGTCACTGTGATACTGATAAATTTACCACCAACCACCTACAGTAAAAGACCCTTCCCCCTCTACAATGTACAATGTCGACATATTCGGACTCGAGAAGTGGGCGTGGTGTACAACAGAGGTGTAAAGGACCGCTTGCCGGTTCCCATAATGAAGCAGTCCCCTATCAGCTTTCGCTCTGCCTGCGTGCCTGTGTGCCTGCGATGCTTTGACTCATTCTGCGGGGCATAATTTGATCCGCTCACTTGTATATTTATTCTTCCATTATCCAACTCTGTTGTTTTCTTTCTGTCCCCTGACACTTCGACAATCGATCCACTCCCTCACTCTTGGGCATTAGAATGAAATAACTGTACGAGTTTCCATCCCACCCCCGGTTCGATCTCGGTTCCATCACGGGCTATCTTGACTTCTCGATTCGCATTCCACGGATTCCGTAATCCCCTGGTACGGTGAAATGGAACCCGGGTGCCCGATAGCCATCGTATCCTGAATGGTTTTCCGATCAACTGTGGGCTCAGCCCACTGGTATCCTCCGTCTGTGTACCTGCTCTGTCGGCTTTCATGTCGCCCTCATCCTCGGATGACTCCGCCTCCCAGAATATAGTCCCTCGTATAGAGTCATTGATGACTCGTCCCTTGGCGGCAGTCGACGTTGCTGGTGTAGGAGTAATGTCTGGTTCTTCTAGATTCGGCATGTTATTGGGTCGCGGTGGTACCTCTATTGCTAAGCGCTCATCGTCCTGTATGGGTGACATCATACGAGCGTATCCGTAGTATTCACCAGACTTATTAGCAGAGAAGATCAGGTAAACATCATCTGCGTTCTAATCGAGGTTGTCAGACAAATATCGATTTGGGAATATTCCTGCCCCAACTCTCCCTTGGTTCGGTAATGTTCTCACCTCATAGGCTTGATTCAATTGATCCTCATTGTGAGTTTGTGTAGCCCAGATGTTGGTTTGTCGACTGTGTTCCAAATCCTCCACGGTCAAGCTCTTGACAACGAAGTATCTGCTCGTCATCCGGGCACTTGAGCGTCTGTTATATCCGAATTTCCGGTATGCAACCGACTCCGTATCATCGTTAATCATCAATTGCTTGCTATCGCTCTGGTCTTGAGATGGCGAGGGTGTAGCAGACCCTATGGCTTCATGACTCGAGCTGGCTAGTATGGTTCCGTGCCGCAGTCGGCAAACAAGGCGTGCGCCATGGAACCTAGAATCATTGAATCTTGACAGAGCAGCAGCGCACGCAGCGGCCGTTTTGTAATTGATAAAGGCACAATTACTCTTGGAGATAAGAAAGACGCTTACCAGCTCCTTCGTAGCCTCCTGGGAGAAGTGATCTTTCAAGTCCATAATATTGGTTGCGGGAGGCAGATTGCCAACCCACAAAGCATGACCCGACTGCTTGGGCTTCCTTAAAGGTCCACGCAACGTGTTTGGCCCGGGCGACTGGGACGAACGCGAGGCTGCATCTGCTAGGATTAGCCCCCGCTATACCCACTTGATTCGGTTTAGTCTGGCATGGAGTGTTGCTGCCAACCTACCGGTCGAGGAATGATGGGAACGCATAGGCGTGGAACCGTCCACTATTGTTTTCGAGACGTCATAGTCCGTGTTGCTGTGTCTGCTTTCCCTATCCAAATCGGTGGCCGTCTTGACAATATGACCGCGCAGTGGCCGGTGATTGGAAACCGACATACTTGGCGGCGCGGGACTAGGTTTAGGTGCCGTTGCGCTCGAGGTCTGCGGATAATATCCCTGGGAATACGGTGCCTGACTGGGGGTATGGACTTTTAAGTGGCTTGACGAGTTAGGTGCCAACGGCTGGTACCCGGGATTGCTATGTTGGACATTCGGGTCCTGCTGCTGGTGCTGCTGGTGCTGCTGAACATACGGCGCATAAAATGGGAACGGGGCACCGAATGCCATGTTCGCGTTCATTGTCGCTGGAGCATAGGACGACAATGCATGTATAGGGTAAACTACCCCGTGAGGAAGGACCGTGGGGATGAATTGTTGTTGCATAGGATGTTGCTCGTAAAGAATAGGGTGAAGTTGGTAAGCTGGTAGAACTGATCTCGAACCACTTATATTCGAATCCGAGTGTAAATTCCCGGGTGCACAGAAGGATGCGTAGGCATGCCCATCAGAATGCGAATGTTTATTATCAGTCTGAGCAGCCTGGCTGAAGCGGGATGAACCTGACGAGGAGGTCAATCTAAGATCCTAAGAAGATCCAATTCTTGCTGTTTGCTCTCTCCGATTTCATATCCTTACTCTTTCCCCTTCTGACTCATTAAGAAAAAGTGGACGACAGAACTTGAGAAAGACTTACCCGGTGGTCGATAAGCAATTTCTGCTTCGTTGCCTTTTCCCGAAGATGCCGGTGGTTTAGTGACATCTGCAACTTCCAGTGTGGCGTTTGACTGGGCCATTGGAGCGCAATCACTTGAGTTAGGCATGGTAGAATAATACAGGCTGAGAATGACCACCGGAACGGCAAGCCTCACTGTATGAGTATGATCTCTATGCATTAGAGAGGGGTGGTCGGTAAAGGCAAAAGGGCAATCTGTCACATACCTTCCCCAGGACCTGTAAGCTACCAACACGTCTTACGGGCTTGCTCAAAGGTTGCTTGATGACCGACAAGAGGCTTTTCTGTGTCATTAACGCCGGTTAGAATTTTTAAAACGAGTCTTGAAATACACAAATCTTCAGACGCGTAAACTTCTGGGAGGCACAGATGAGTTGGGTAGCGAGGAGGAAACAGACGGACATATGTAACTATCCGCGCAACAACAGAACAACTTTCAATGAATACCAAGCTAGGAAATCTCTAACTCTGGCTTAGAAGGAGGACATGCACATTAGTGTAGTGGTTAGTGGGAAGGCTACCACAACACAATGTTGAAAGGAATAGATCTAGCCCACGCACGCACACACACACGCACCAAAAATTTGTGCCAATAATAGGCATTCGATGCCGGGCTCAGTGAGGAAATTGAGAGGAGGGGGGGGGATGGAAAAGAAAAAAAGATGTAAGTTAATCCGAATACTTGGACGCCGACAGATTTTTTGCGGAAGAATAAGGGTGGCCCGATCTGCCACATGGGCGTAATACCCTGAAAGAGGACACTCCAGCTGTATGACCAAACGACAAGGAGCCACAGAGCCACATTGTCAAAAGTCATGCACGAATCTCAGAGCAGCCTCACAAGTAGGGTGGAGAACAGACTAAGCGTCGAGGTGGAAGTAGTAAGAGATGGGTCAGGTAGGGTATGAGGAACCTGCAAGATTGGAGGCCATCTCATAGGCGGAAGTAGGGGGAATAGAAAATGGGGTATAGGTGAACGACCATAAAGGGAGGAAAGAAAAGGGTAAGGCGAGTAGACGGCAGGCACTTGCAAGAAGTTGGCCTCCCACATTCAGTAGAGTAGGCCACATCTCTGCCCGGGGAAGGGGGGGGTAAATGTTGCCGTGGACACTGGACAGGCAGAGGGCACCAGCCCGTAGTTTAGTGACTACCTTGTATCATGCCAAAGCAGAAGATTCGTTGCTTCCCACGAAGATCAAAGAAAGTAGAGTATGTGGTGGCCCACAAATATGTTCAGGACCGCAGCCACCAAGGTCATCTTTGTTGAGGTCATTCCATCCCCCAAGCTCCAGCTAGAACTAGAGCTGGAACGGGTCGTAACTCAAAGGGTGGAAGAAGCGGCGGATGGTTTGAGGCTCATCAGGATTGACTGGCTGACGCGCAAATGCCGCCGGTCCTGATTGGGAAGCGGGAAAGGGGAGGGATTTCAATTGAAAACGCGATTAGATGGGGGGGGGGGCGGCCAAAGGACGGGGAAGGGGAAGCAGCCCAACACTAAAGATGGAGGGGAAGGAAAGAATCCAGAACCAAAACAATTCATATCTGGAGATCATCGGCTTAAAACCTCCAGCAAACCGAGCCCCGAGATAAAGAGTAAAGACAACAGCAGGAGTCAAGTGAACGTACTCTTGGTGGAGAATAGTGAGGGGGAAGGAAAGGTGCGAAGCCGAAAGGGTGTGTGCAGCTAACAGGGTGAAGAAACGATAAAAAAAAGTGTATCTTCCGGTATTAAGCATTGGATTGTCTGATATTGGACAGTAACAAGAAGAGAAACAACGGTACTTGCCATTGAACAGTTGGCAGGCTCGGTGTCGGTGAACGGAAGAAATAATCACGATCATCAAGAAGAGCCCTTGTGTAGACACAGTGTAGCCCAAAGACCGAAGCGGAGACTAGGTATGGAGAAGGAATGGCCCTCAAACCAACCAGGTTAGCAGAGCCCTGGGCAATCTAACGGATCTTCTGACCGTCAGAGCTCGGAAGGGCAACTCCTGCACAGGGCAGGTGGGTAATGCACAGAAGGCTATTCCGAACGGAAATGAAGCAAAGGACGGGGGCCTGTGTATATAGCGGCGAGGGTCTTTTCTCTCCCTCTGCCTTAAAGTGGCGCCCCCGGGGGCCGCGACAACGACAAGAGGGGACCGATGAGCCGGACTCTCTCGCCCTCCACTCGGTCAGTCTTCTCCTTAAGTGAGGTGAGTGAGTGAGTGAGTGAGTGAGTGAGTGAGTGAATGAACGGGATGTTTCCTTCTCGCCCTTCCCTCTTGGGATTTGGTGGCTGTGGCTGCCTCCAGTCTAAGGGGGATATCCACAGCTTAAAATCGGGTGCTTCGATTCGGATCGGGCCTTGCTTCAACGTTTTAGCAATTCATGAGCGAGGCCCAATCAGCTCTCACAGAGGATCGACAAGCTCGATCCTAATACTGAGCATGGCAGGTTTGACTGACACGAAATGTTGCTTCTTATCCCTCAGTAGACAGCGGTGTTGAAGGAGTAGAAGAAGCCAGTGTCACCGATTCCGTGACTTACGGAATTCAAACGAGAGAAAACATGAGCAGCAAGATCCAATCCCTTTTGTATTTACGGATGCGATTTACAGGCTGGGCTGTTTCTTGCCTGCCTGGCTGTCTGTCTGCGCCCTTTTCGCACTGTATCTTGCGAAGAATGATCGAAACCGAATTGTATGGCGTTGCGGCAGACGTCGATCGAACATAGATAAATATATAGCAAGGAACTAAAAAGAAGAATCGCGAAAGCGGGAGAACAGAGTGGAGGGTTCGGACACCGCCAGGCTTGAGGGTCGCAGGCCGTCCGAGAGATGGGAGACAACTCGTTCAATAATCTTCCAAGCCATCATAAAAGACCAGGATGTCAGAACCGAATCGGCCACATCCGACGTTCCGTGGGTTGCTGGAGGACAAGAATAGATAGTCTAGGATCAGCCAGGTACGTAGTGGCTGGGAGGACTTTGGCATCGATAGCATCGATGGCTTCTCCAACTGTTCGTGATTGGGTACCGCTGTTATGTCCCTGACCCAGTCAGATAATTCGATGGGATTTTTTCCCTCCCTCATGACAGCTTGAAGCAGGGCTCGCTCTATTTCCGAGGATTCCATGAGCAATCGAACCCACCCAGGGGGGTCATTTCATCGATCGAGGAGCGTCGTTCCATGAAGGTGGCAAATCAGGAGTGCGCTCTATACGCATTGGTCAGGGCTTTGAATGGGTCCCCAACCCGAGGCGTATGCGTGGCACTGAACCACAAGGGATTGACAGCTGCAGGCAGTTTTTATATCTCCATAGTGAAGGTGATCTACACAGTGACCCAATCCGGTGAGCATAAGACATGACCTCGGAGTAAGGTCAGTGGGGAGAAAATCAGGATGATGATGACGATAATGATGATAATGATGATTATGATAATATTGCGGCGTTGCCGGTTTGATGAGCGCGATGATCTTCGCGTAATTATGGGTATATGCTCGCAGATGAGTAGTGAGTCGAGTATCATTTGCCCTTATAATGTCGGCATGGAGCATGGTCACAATCGGGTTCGAGTGTGAGGTCGATCGTTTTTGCCGAAAAGGAAAGAAGGTATTTCTTTCCGCTTTGCGCTCTTGCTCTACCCGCTCCCTCCTTTCCCTCTCCCCGCCTGCCTTCTCTCGTGTCCCAAATTACCATCCTCCCCCCCCCCGCGCGCGCGTCTTCTATGGAAAGGACCGCTAACCGACAGGCTAGTTTGCCGCCGACGTTAAAAGAAAGCCGCCGTAAAGTGTGAAATGGGGCCTGGGTGACGAGGTAACAGTGTGTCGGGTTTTTAGGGCCTAGAGATTCCTTTTTTTTCATACCCGTTTAGGTTGATCTTATGAAACACATTTTCATAATCCAAGGTAGACATTCCTTCTGCTTAATCACGAACGTTCCAGCTTGGAACGGAGAGATCTGGTACAAGTTATTCAGACCTCTAAACGGGGGGCATGAAAAAAAAAGCGAGGGTGGAGATCTCGCCAGAGTTCGATAACTGCGATTCGATAGTACAGAGATGTTTGACCCAGTGAGATTTCAGACTGGAAAAAACTCCAAACGATGAGTTCCAGTTAGTAATTGAGCAAGCAATTCCGTCGTCTCCGTGCTACGAGTAGGATGGATGGATCTGGACTCCCGCCGCCGCCGCCGGATTACATGCAGCAATTGGCGAAGGAGCTCATCGGGTCAAATTCAAAGTCTAGATGTTACCGCGCCGGGGACAAGTTATCAGGTTCAAGCTAGTTGAGTGGAGAGAGCATCAGGGCTATGGAGTTTCAACGATTGCATGATTGCCGGAGAAAGGGGCGGAGACGAGACACAGAAAATTCGTGCAGCTACCCATTAGTGCCAGTACATTAAAATTGTAGTTCAGGTTGACGTTCGCTGCGGGAAGGATGGATAAGTGGGAGGAGGAAACTGCGGAATTGACTAACAGACAGCTAGCAGTCTACGAGGGGAGTATAGTAAGTTAGGTACTACACTGTACCTACTCCCTAGTCTAGGGCGGGTGGTGGTCCCAGTGCATTCCCACTAGGGCCCGATCGTTCTCCAACTGGAAACCCAGCTCAGGACACAAAATAAGTTACCTGTAGTTACTTGTAACTTATCCGTTATCCGGTAGGCTTCATGCAGCAGCAGCACTTTTACTAGGACAATAAGTAGATACTACTGTTAGATTTATATTTACAAGACGGGAGTGCCTTTCTTCGCAGGCATACACCCTCAACACACAAACGGAATTTTCAAAAGATCTTGGTGTATTACTTCAAATCCAAGTATCAGAGCGATAGATAGTCCATGTGGGAGTAGTGGCTGGCAACTGATTTCATGAGTTGAAAACCGCTGGTACTCAGTACACAGTAGTACAGTAGAGCACATGTGCAGGTCACTTGGTGACCTAAGCCGCTAACTTACCACTAAAGTACGGACCGAGAGGCACGCCAACAAAACTGGAACCTAACCTTACCGCGGTCCGTGGATTCTGAGGGACTAGCAATGGATGAGGAGGATCCACAGGCCACTTGGGCACCGGATGCAATGCCAGCCAATCAATTTTGGACCACTTCAACCTCATCCCATTCTTTTCCGGCAATACTTTCGACCAATCCCTAATCTTCACCATTAGTGTGGCTGATCCCCACTTCGTGCTGTGAGATTGTAGGTACTGTACCTAGAAGTACGTGGTCATACTCATGTAGGTAGGTAGATCATGGATACCTTTGCTACCTTACCGTTGGAGGAAATTGTCTATCTGCCTTCCAAACGAGTACCTTACAGAGTACCTAGTAAGTGCACTTCACTTCAAACTTCACTCCAATGTTGGAAAGTTACAGTAGTAGTGTTGCTATGGCATGTTCTTCCACCGCCCCTCATCCCCTCCCCCCCACACCCTTGCATCTAGTATTTCCGAGATGATTGCTTTCTCCCCTCTTGAAAAAAAAAAACTAAAAGAAAATAAAAAAAAAATAAAAAAAACCTTCGAGTTGCGTTGAATCTTCGTGTTTTCGAGAACAGTGGGCACTGGGCCAAACGATCACTGATGAATTTCTCGACTTCCCTCGCCTCGCGCACTCGCTCTCTCTTACTCACTAAGATCTTCTGTTGCTTTTTTCTGTGTGTAAATTCATTCATCTCTCTTACTCATACCGTCGAAACAAGAGTCTTGTCTCCAGGGCTCCCCCGCCTCCTACTGCGTGTGCTTTCTGCTGATGTGGAAGGCTTATCTGCCCTCAATTGAGGAATGCAAGTATACCATTCGCGAATGCGGTGTAGGCGCAGTAGTCATTCTAATCACTTGAGTATAGTGGGCCATTGTTGCAGAAGCTGCTGACACTTGTCTGCCTGAGCGATACTGCAGCGGTTATGTGCAGGAGATTCAGCCCCCTTTACTGATTCATCGGAAAGTCTACAGATAACGAAAGCCCTTGTATTTGGCCTCTATGAAAGAAGGACCCGCCCCCATCTCCACCCAGGTGACCTTCATGAGCTGCAAGTTGCGTGGGCAGCAATGGTGACGGCGTATGAATTAGAAATCCACGACGGCTTGATAGAGCAGGCAGCAAGCCACAAATAGCGAGGTCTTATAAGGCCATTCTATGTATGTGCTGCTGCACTTCATGTGGATCGTGACTGCACTGAGAGAGACCAGATGCACCGGACACATTTGAATGTCCCTCTATTCAACCATCAATGTCCTAACGAAGCACTGGATCAAGGCGAGAATTTGGACCATCCCGTTGTAGGGTAGACTGCTTGCGGTAATCAACATGGCCCGAGGTATGTACTCATGATGGCATGATCTTTTTGGCGTGCTATAAAATCCGATGAGGCCTTTGCCACTCGACAAGCCAGACACGAGTCGTTAGCGAACGCGCAACCTAAGTTATATCTGCCGATAGGAGCCTCTACTCATTTGCTCCGTAAGGGACAGACTACAGAAGCGGGTGGGAGGTAATCAGCGCCAACTGAGGCGCAACCAGCTTTCAATGCCCACTCAGTAAGTCAACAGATGCGAATCAATCATGAGTAGCACTCATAAATTAGGTTAGGTTATGAGGACAGTACAGTGTACAGTATGAGGAGGCTTGCCAATCTGCCCAGTGATCATGTAAGCGGACAGGCTTTCAAAATGAGAATCCTATCTAACACACCGCCTTCCTCGTCGCCACTTGCCTTTTCTGCCATATGACGTCATGTACTATCAACACTGCGAGACCACTGCGAGAATCTGCGAGAATCTACGAGAAAATGACACACTGGTCCCTTGCGGTCCGTACTGCACAGAGGCGAGACATTGTGGAAGGAACTATGTGATTTGAACCAACCCGAATTAAAGCTGCCTACAGGGGCTTGCATATGTCGAGGTCGGCAGCTTCACAACCGATCTTTACAAGGCGATACGCGAGTACTACACATGCAACCTTGCAGTGGTCCACCCAGTTCGAGTCTGTCTTCAGGCTGACCAGCAAACGCAGTGACACCATACTTCCAAGAACATATATGCGCATTCTGATCGGCCATTCGAGTGAGGAACGCTGGCCTGACCAGTGTGGCGCCCTTGACATGCTCATGTGCCGATTACTTCACCCTCCTTTGGCCATGAGAGTACCACTACAACACCACCACCGTCATTACCTGGTGCCCCTGGGCCCCCTGATAGGTGTCTAACTCCCGACTGGCCATCCTGCTTCAGCCATTTAGCCCGTCGTATTGCCAGGTAGTCTCCACTTCATCCACACCAGGAGGCTAGCATGTAGGGCGATGCTATTGTGGCTTATATAGAGTCGTTCGATGCATCCAATGATAATTGTTTCGTATGCATGCATCGAGACGCAGTCAACAGCGGGGAGGGACAAGAGACGGCGCTGGGTTTCGCCCCTTAACCTACATGGGTGACAAGAAAGGACTAACTCATAAATACATTAACTTGTGGCGAAGGCTGTTGCGCAGATCATGACCTCTAGCACACTGTATCCATGCTCATTTTGATGGCGGTCTCTGGCGAACCTGCACCATAATTTCAGAACACAGCCTTGGTCGGCCAATGTGTCTTGGAAGGGGTCATTGCCCGTAATCAAAGTTCTTCGTGCACTGCTGGTCTCTCTTGGACGAGAAAAAATTCGTGTTCTCTTGCCACATCATAAGTATCTCGGACCATCGCTGTCCGCCGCCGAACAGAAGAAATTGAGTTTACCAGAGTCATTTGCCATCTGGACAGTTTCGAATTTCTTAACGTGTAAAAGAATCATGTCTACGGCGGACCGATCTGCTACAGCCGATGCGACCTACCGTAATCTCATCAAGAACACTTGGCAGCACGTACCAAGACCCCAACAGTGTGATAATTGGCCAAGATTGGAACTGTGGGATTTACGATTGTCCCAGGAATTGGGATCCAGCAGTGCGAAGGCGGAAGAAGACAAAAGTATGGAAAGGGTAGCAGCGGGTGACTAATCAAGAAAGCAAAGAGAGCTGGACTGAGTTTGTATGAAGGTGATATCAACAAGAATTTGTGACAATGGCGTTAGTGGTCTTGGCAGTAACATAACAGTCATTCTCTCAGTTAGACATCGAGACTGTAGATATATGGCCCTAGGTCTCGGCATGACATCATGTCTACTGGAGCCTCGTTATGATTAGGATTAAGAGAAGGATATAGAACATAAAAGACAGAGACGAATTTTTTTTTTTTTTTTTTTTTTTTTTTTTTTTTTTTTTTTTTTTTTTTTTGGAGGAGGAGGAGGAAGACGGAAGAGGCAGAGGAGGAGAAATGATTATCGGTCTATACCAAGTGAGGCAACTTTTCCAGCAAACCTAGCACCAGCACTACCTCTTTTGTGCAACTTCTCACGCTCCCTACTGTCGAGTGAGCTCGGAGCCTGTGTGGGCGATACCACGCTGTTATCGGTGCCCGGGCCTCGCATCGTTGGTGGTGAACCTGAGATTTCAGCTGTACTCTTCCCAGTCGGAGGAGCGGAAGGAGTACTGATACAAGTGGACACTCTTGCGGTCCTCTGACTTAAATATAGTTGGGCAGCTGGCGAAAGGGGAATAGGCGGAGGCTGCAGAGGAATCTCGGCCCCGTTCTGAACGAGGATCTCTGCAATCGGGAAAGGAATCGCTTTTACAGGAGGACCTGCAGGTGACCTGGTTGACAGACTAGAGCTCGACCCCGG